GCCTCCCTAACCTGTTCTTCCTCCCACCTATCCCCTCCTCCCACCTCAAGCCGCACCCCCATCTCCTACCTACTAACCTCATCCCGCCCCCTTGACCTGTCCGTCCTCCCTGGACTGACCTATCTCCTCCCTACCTCCCCACATACACTCACCTTTACTGGCTCCAACCCTGCATCTTTGACCTGTCTGTTTCCTCTCCACCTATCTTCTCCGCTATCCATCTTCTATCCACCTCCCACTATCTCCCTATTTATTTCAGAACCCCCTTCCCCTCCCCCTTTTCTGATGAAGGGTCTCGGCCTGAAACGTCAGCCTCTCTGCTCCTATGATGCTGCTTGGCCTGCTGTGTTCATCCAGCTCTACACCTTGTTATCACCTATTCCTCCCTGTCTGTTTCTCTGTGTGTAAAGAGATTTGAGTTTGAATTTGGAGTGTTCTAGTGTTAGCTGACAGATGAAGAGTTTTTGGGGGCGGATCACAGGTTGATGGGATTGTAGAGAATGTCTGAGCCTGTTTCTGCTCCATCACAGGGTCTGCCATATGATGCCTTACTGAGGATCAGGAAAGAGAAGTTCTCTCCATTCACCCTGACATACTACCAGCAGCCCCTGATCCTCCACCAGGGTCACATGCAGTGGCTATGGGACCTGGAGGGGTGCAGGTACCTGGACTTCTTTGGGGGAATTGTCACCATCAGCATTGGACACTGCCACCCGTGAGTAAAGGGGTTGCTTCATCTGAATCCTAACTTCATCCAACATCCAAGGGGCTCTGCATTTGTTTGTCCTAACATCCCCTGTCAAGGGAATATACCTCGACTGTGTCCCCACATCCATCTCCTGTTTGAAGGGAGACCATTGTTAGATATGGTTTTGGTTTCAGTTTCTCCGGCCCAGCTCTGGGCTTGTCCCACTGCAGTCTGCCCTCTGCCAGGTGATTATTCTCTCTGCAGACTGACCAAGGCCACTCCCTACCATCTCCCTCACTCGCAGTACAATGATCACTATTCCCTAACATCCCCAATGTGACTTCCTCTATTTAACCCACTTCATTCCCAAGAGTTATGGAAATGGGGCAATGGGAGTGAGGTTTTTTTTAATTCATTCATAGGATGAGGGTGTTGCTGGCCAGGCAGCATTTATTGCCCATCCCTAATTGTCCAGAGTCAACCACATTGCTGTGGGTCTGGAGTCACATGTAGGCCAGGCCAGGTAAGGATGGCAGTTGCCTTCCCTAAAGGACATTAGTGAACCAGATGGGTTTTTTCAACAATCAACAACAGATTCATGGTCATCATTAGATTCTTAATTCCAGATATTTTATTGAATTCAAATTCCACCATCTGCTGTGGCAAGATTCGAACCCAGGTCCCCAGGATATTGTCTGGGTCTCTGGATTAACAGTCCAGTGATAATACCACTAGGCCATCACCTCCCTGGTGGGGAGTGGGAGTCTGCCGTAGGGAAATGGGGTGGGGAAACAGGGCGGGGAGTGAGGAAATGGTGTGGGGAGTATGGGATGGGAGTGGGGGAATGGGGGATGAGGTGAAGAGTGGAGAGTAGAGAATGGGGTGGAGTGTGAGGGTGGGGAGGGGAGGGGAAGATGGGGGTGGGGAATGGGGATCAGGGTTGGGTTTGGAGGTGGAAGGTGGGAGCAGGGAAATGGGATGAGGAGTGGGATGTGGGGGTGGGGAGTGGGAATGGGGGCAGGGGAATGGGGTGGGGGGGTTAGGTGTGGGATGGGGAAATTTGGGTGGTGGTGGGGG